ACTGCCTGCAACCGAGCACCTCTCCTCCAGAGTAGAAACAGGTAAGAAGCCTCCTTAAAGCGCAGACCTGCCTGCAACCGAGCACCTCTCCTCCAGAGTAGAAACAGGTAAGAAGCCTCCTTAAAGCAGTACCTGCCTGCAGCTGAGTGCCTCTCTTCCAGAGTAGAAACAGGTAAGAAGCCTCCTTAAAGCACAAGACTGCCTGCAACCGAGCACCTCTCCTCCAGAGTAGAAACAGGTAAGAAGCCTCCTTAAAGCGCAGACCTGCCTGCAACCGAGCACCTCTCCTCCAGAGTAGAAACAGGTAAGAAGCCTCCTTAAAGCGCAGACCTGCCTGCAACAAAGCACCTCTCCTCCAGAGTAGAAACAGGTAAGAAGCCTCCTTAAAGCACGTACCTGCCTGCAACCAAGCACCTCTCCTCCAGAGTAGAAACAGGTAAGAAGCCTCCTTAAAGCACGTAACTGCCTGGCAACCAAGCACCTCTCCTCCAGAGTAGAAACAGGTAAGAAGCCTCCTTAAAGCATGCATCTACCTGCAGTTGAGTGCCTCTCCTCCAGAGTAGAAAAAGGTAAGAAGCCTCCTAAAGCTCAAGACTGCCTGCAGCTGAGTGCCTCTCATCTAGAGTAGAAACAGGTAAGAAGCTCCTTAAAGTGCATACCTGCCTGCAACCGAACACCTCTCCTCCAGAGTAGAAACAGGTAAGAAGTCTCCTTGAAGCGTGCACTTGCCTGCATCTGAGTGCTTCTCCTCGAGAGTAGAAACAGCTTAAACACCTAAAATGATAGGAAGGGAGCTTGGGAAGTCTCTCCCCCATAATGGGCCAATAGCAAACAGATTTTTCAGCACCCCAGAGCAAAAATAGAAATCTGCCCTCTCGATTTCGGGAGGCTCCCAAAAAATAGATCGGGGCCCCCACAAAAAGGCAGGACATGAAATGGTTCAAGGTTTACCCAGAAGCTTCTCACACCAGGCCTTTCTCATACTCGGCCTTCTCATAGATTAAGGTCTTTCTCACACTGAGGCCTACCTCACAGACTGAGACTTTTCTCCCACTGAGATTTACCTCAGACTCCTCAGGATGACTCTAGTGCGATAGATTCAGTGTAGACCAGGCATGGGCCAACTTGGGCCCTCCAAGTGTTTTGGACTCCAACTCCCACAATTCCTAATAGCCTCAGGCCCTTTCCTTTTCCCCCTCAGTGAGGTAGGCCTGAGTATGAGGTAGACCTTACTCTATGAGAAGGCCAAGTATGAGGAAGGCCTGGTGTGAGAAGCTTTTCACACATAGGGCTTCTTTCACGGAAGCTTCTCACACCAGGCCTTTCTCATACTCTGCCGATCTCACAGACTGAGACTTTTCTCCCACTGAGGTTTACCTCAGACTCCACAGGATGACACTAGTGCGATAGATTCAGTGTAGCTTCTCACACCACACCTTTCTCAAACTTGGCCTTCTCACAGATTAAGGCCTTTCTCACACTGAGGCCTATCTCACAGACTGAGACCTTTCTCCCACTGAGATTTACCTCAGACTCCACAGGATGACACTAGTGCGATAGATTCAGTGTAGACCAGGCATGGGCCAACTTGGGCCCTCCAGGTGTTTTGGACTTTGACTCCCACCATTCCTAACAGCCTCGAGCTTGAGGCTGTTAGGAATGGTGGGAGTTGGAGTCCAAAACACTTGGAGGGCTGAAGTTTGCCCATGCCTGGTGTAGATGCATCCTATTTTGCCACATCATTCTGTTTCTGCTTTCCTGCCTTTTCAGGATCCCTGTCTAGCTGGATCATGTTCCATGGTGTATCTTTTTCAGCCTCCCACTGTGGTGGTCTTCATGTTCATCAGTGTGACTCACCTGGTCTATTATTATTATATTTATGAGTTCTGTGGTTGGGCACGTACAGATACGGCACAGCAGTTTCCTCCGTACCACGGTCTGCCTCCTAGAAGTCGCTCATCCAAATGCCATTCTCTGCTTGCACATTGACACGGGTTAATATAATTGATTACCGGGAGATGGGCCTTATTTGTGGGCCATTTAGCTAATTACGCCTGGATGGGGGAAGCGTGCGCGTTAATTGCCGCTCGCGGAGGGCTGTGCCAAATGGCTGCAGGTGCAGCTTGCCACAGAGTCCTGCTAATGGCTGGCAAGCGCAGGCAACGGGAGATGAAAGGCATAGACGCCCATCTTCTTTGCGACATCAGTTCCCAGCAAGGGAGGATTCGCAAGTCTAAGGGAAATGACGACAACTAGATAGGGCATTGCTCTTTGCAGTGGTGAGTAAGAGACGGAGTGTCATTTCTGGCAGGCTGCAGCGTAATGGTTGCAGATTTCTGGGGGGAAAGAAGAACACAGATGGAACCTTGTTTTGTTTCTGAAATCGTGGTTGTGATGCTCATGCGGTGGCCTTCAGATGTGTAGAATGACACTCTCCATCATTGCCAGTTGTTTATGTGCTTTGAAATCAGCCCCATGAGCAAGACACCTCCAAAAACTGGACTATTAAGGTCTTGAATCTCTGGGTTGTGGCTTCCTTGATGGAGTCTATCCATCTGGAATGTTGTTTCCATCTTTTCCTACCAATCTTCACATTACAAATCACTGTCACCTTTTTCAGTGAGTCGTGTGTATGATGTGTCCTGCAAATCTCTTGGGAAGACAGGCAGACAAATGTCAGTGTGCTGGAAGAAGCAAAGACCATCAGCATTGAAGCGATGGTCCTCCGCCATCAACTCTGCTGGACTGGCCATATTGTCCAAATGTCAAAAGCAGTTACTGTATAAAAATATGAATTGAATTGTGGCGCAGCTGGCTGAGTGTCAGCTGCATTAAGATCACTCTGACCAAAAAGTCATGAGTTCGAAGCCAGCCCGGGCTGGAGTGGGTGTCCAGCCATTGTGTAGCCTGCTGTCGACCTTTGCAACCCGAAAGACAGTTGCATCTGTCAAGTAGGAAAATAAGGTACCACCTTTGTGTGGGAGGCTAAATTAACTAATTTATGAGGCCATAAAGAAGACTCCAGCAAAGCATTCCAGCGGGGAAGCATGCGGGGAATGCGGAAGTGCTTCATCAGTGTCGCAGATGGACGATGAAAGCGACAGCTCCCCTGGCGGCCAGAAAAAGTTAAATAGCCTCTGTGTATGTCTGTATATGTTGTATGTCTAATTGGCATTGAATGTTTGCCGTATATGTGTACACTGTAATCCGCCCTGAGTCCCCTGCGGGTGAGAAGGGCGGAATATAAATGCTGTAAATAAATAAATAATAAATAAGAGAACAGGAAAAGAGATTTAAAGATGGGCTCAAAGCCAACCTTAAAAACTCTGGCATAGACACTGAGAACTGGGAAGCCCTGGCCCTTGAGCACTCCAGCTGGAGGTCAACTGTGACCAGCAGTGCTGTAGAATTTGAAGAGGCACAAATGGAGGGCGAAAGAGAGAAACATGCCAAGAGGAAGGCTCATCAAGCCAACCTCGAGCAGGACCGCCTTACACCTGGAAACCGATGTCCTCATTGCGGGAGAAGATGCAGGTCAAGAATAGGGCTCCACTGCCACTTACGGACCCACGGCCAAGACACCGAACTTGGAAGACAATCCTACTCGGACAACGAGGGATCGCCTAAGTAATGATGTGTCCAAGGTTTAAACAACTGGAAACACCTCGCTTGTAGAAGTCAAGAGGTTGCTCCAAAGGCCATGTTGTGACTTCGGAAATCAGAGTTTCATCATCTGAGAAATGCTTGCCCTTCAAAAATAACTTCCTTGTTGGAAAGAGGTGGAAGCCCAATAGTGCAAGATCGAGTGAATAAGGAGGATGCGTTTGAACTTCAAAGCCACAGGAGCATGCTTCTTCCATTTGGGCAACAGGTGAGTTGTACATTGGTGCATTGTCTTGCAGAAGGCAGACACCTTTGGTGCTCACCAAAGGTGTCTGCCTTCTGCAAGACAATGCACCAATGTACAACTCACCTGTTGCCCAAATGGAAGAAGCATGCTACATTGTCTCTTGGCTTTGATGACCTCCCACAAGGTTTGCAGCAGAGAAGCATAGTATGACCCAGTGATCATGGGACCCTTTGCTAGGAAATCCATCAACCCTACTTCGTGCTGGTCCGAAAATACTGTGAGCATGACCTTGCCTGCTGAGACTTGGGCACATGCCTTTTTTGGAGGCGACGAGTCATGATGCTTCCATTGCATCGACTGGACTTGAGTCTCAGGATCAGAGTGATGGACCCAGCTTTCATCCTGTGTAATCACTCTGTTGACAACGTCCTCCTGGTTTCCATGGCACATCATTGTCAAGAGAGCCTGAGAGCATCTGACTCATTCCTGCTTCTGGAAAGGTGTGAGTACCTGGGGGACTTGGCGAGAAGATGGTCTTGGATGATTTTCTCCATGGCGCCCACACTTATATTGACATTTTGGGCCAAATGGTAAATGTTTACCCAGTGATTTTCCAAAATGGAGACCTTCACTTGCTGGATGGTGTGTTCCTCAATAGCAGAGTGGGCTGGCCCTGGAATGGGAGCCGTTTGCATCAAAGTCCAACCACATTGGAATTGACGATGCCAGTTCTTGATTCCATCATATGATGGGGAATCCTCACCATAAACCTCTTTCATCTCATTAAACGTCTCCTTTGGTGTGAGGCCTTTTAAGTCAAGGAACTTGAGGACTGCCCTGTCTTCCACTGGGTCCATTCTCAAACCTCACTCCATTTCAGCACCTGTAAAATTAGGACCGTTATCAGTTCTGAGTTGTAAATTGGCACATAACCTATAGAGACTTTTATCATCGCACGTGTGCAGTTTCAGCATCCTGTGATAAATAGAAGTGGGTCTGGGGAAGTCTTTAATGAATGCCCCTTGTACTTGCCCAAAATGGCAACCCTGGCCTGGTTTGTACCAATGATAGAAACAATGAGACCTTGTCAACCGCAATGAACTGCACTTTATTTATAGGCTGGTCCCTGTAATCATGAGGGCGCTCCATCTCAGTCCAGTTCATCTGGTTCTTGGTCCCAGTTGGGATTTTCCCCTCTGAATTTGGGTCCGCCACTCTTCTTGGCCACCATGACTTCACTCACTCCCAGCAGTGTGACGGCCATCTGGGTGGCCAACCTGATGCCTCGTTGTTTCACTAAGAATGGATCTAGCAGGCCTCCCTTGGCGGTGTCGATGGTGCCGCCTTCCTCCAAGGCCAATGTGATGCCGGTGTTTTGCAAACCTAGTTGGTGCTGCACTTCTAACTTGGCCATCACTTCATTGACTCGGAGACCTGAATTTTCGGCCAAGGTGGCAGGGAGCGTTTTCAACGCTTGGGAGAACTCTACCACGCCATACTGCTCCGAACCTGGATAGTACATCCCCAGGGTATTGAGCCGCACCGATAGCGCCGTCTCCGTTGCGCCAGCACCTGGCAAGAGACGGCCATCCTTGCCCAAAATCTTGTAGACGTTGACTCCATCATGGATGGCTTCTTCCAAGCAATCCAGCATGTCGCTGGTGGCTCCTCTCAGTACTATGGTGGCAACAGGACGAGTGGTAGGATCCTGATTGAAAATCACCACAGTGGTGCTGCCGATCTCGGTCATGTAGACGCGGCGGCAGTGTCCAATCTCTTCCGGAGACGGGACGGCTATGTCAAGCATCAGAGTGGCTCCCAGAGCCGTACACAGGTGCTGCAGCTCCACGCGGGAGGTCAGCCGGACCACCAGTATCCGATACCGGTTGGCATAGAAGAGGGCCAAATCGTCCACCTTTCCTCCAACCACCACCACATTGATGGTAGCCTTTGCAAGGCCCAGGACCTGCTGCTCCACGAGCCGCTCTTCCCCTTTGCTGTAGCTCTTCATGTCTGTGGCGTTGTCGAAGACTACAGTGCTCTTTAATTCCAATCCAGGTGCGCCAAAGTTGCAGCAGTAGACCGCAATACGGGCTCTCTCCACCCGCTTGACAGTCCCTTCAACCTCTTTGCAGGTGACCATCCCCTCCACAAGGCAAGAGTCGGTGATGCCACCCCCTGGGATTTTACATAAGTGGATGAGATCCGGGTTGAAGGTGGTACACTCTGGAGGCATCACCAAAACACAAGCCTTGGCCACTAGTTTGGACAAGAACTTCTGGTGGCCAAAGACTTTGCTGCCCACAATGGTCTGAAGGACCAACCGCACCTCATCCACGTCACGTGGGTTTTTCAGCACATGACACACCAGGCTAGGCAGCAGGCGCAAAGCTTCCTTGCAAGCCATCTCATAGCCAGACTGAACGTGGACCACTGGTAGCCCTGACCGTAGCAGCTTCTCAGCATTCTCCAAAAGTGCCCCCGCCAGGAGGATAACAAAATTTGTGCCATCGCCCGTCTCTTCCTCTTGCGTTTCAGCAGCCGAGCGCAGCAAACAAGCCACAGGGTTCTCCAACTCTAATTCGCGCAAGATGGTGGCAGCATGGGAAGTGTGGAACGTCTTGCCAAGATGGTTGATCACCAGCTTGTTGTGGCCCTGCGGACCGTAGCAAGTACGCAAGCAGCGCACCAAAGCTTTACAAGCTGTGATGTTGCTGAAGAGGGTTTCCTGGATGCCACTGAAATACTTCATGCCCGCCTTGAGCATCTGTGGAAGGCCTGGAGGCATGGGCACGTGGGTAGCCATTACCTGCAGAGAAAGGAGAAGCAAGGAACCAAGGTTTGGGAGGACACCATGACAACTGGGATGTGCGCCATCACCATGATAGTGGAACAAGTGCAAAGGAAAGCTACACCGGTTTCAAGAGGTGAAAAAAGCAAATACGATACTATTCATCCAATGCTACCCCTTCAACTGTCCAAATCGCTGAGGATTGGGCAAATTTGTCCCTCCAGGTGTTTTGAACTTCAACTCCCACAATTCCTAACAACTTCAGTCCCCTTACTCCCCCCCCCCCCCGCCCCGCCACTTAAGACCACATCAGCTCTAGATATGAGATTGGGAACTTTAAGATAGTTGAACAGAAGCTCTCCAAAGCTCTAGGTGCTCTTACTGCCTATTACAGGGAAAACCAGCTAATCCCTAATCCATCTAAAACACAGACATGTGCCTTTCACCTTAAGAACAGACACACATCGCGAGCTCTGAGGATCACCTGGGAAGGAATCCCACTGGAACATTGCAGCGCACCCAAATATCTGGGAGTCACTCTGGACCATGCCCTGACCTACAAGAAGCACTGCCTGAACATCAAGCAAAAAGGAGGCGCTAGAAACAATATCATACAAAAGGTGACTGGCACAACCTGGGGATCACAGCCAGACACAGTGAAGACATCTGCCCTTGCGCTGTGCTACTCTGCTGCTGAGTATGCATGACCAGTGTGGAACACATCTAACCACGCTAAAACAGTGGATGTGGCTCTTAATGAGACATGCCACATCATCACGGGGTGTCTGCGCCCTACACCACTGGAGAAATTACACTGTCTAGCCGCTATCGCACCACCTGACATCCGCCGGGAAAGAGCAGCCAATAGTGAAAGGACCAAGCAGAGATATCTCCAGCTCATCCCTTGTTTGGGTATCAGCCAGCACGTCAACGACTTAAATTAAGAAATAGTTTTCTAAGATCTACAGAGACACTCGCTGGAACACCTCAGCAAGCGAGAGTCCAAAAGTGGCAGGCTCAAACTTCAATCAATGGCTGATACCAAATGAGAGACTCTCCCCTGGGCACACAGAAAACTGGGCAACTTGGAAGGCGCTGAACAGACTGCGCTCTGGCACAACAAGATGCAGAGCCAACCTCAAGAAATGGGGCCACAAAGTGGAATCCACGACATGCGAGTGTGGAGAAGAGCAAACTACAGACCACCTGCTGCAATGCAACCTGAGCCCTGCCACATGCACAAGGGAGGACCTTCTTGCTGCAACACCAGAGGCACTCCAAGTGGCCAGACACTGCTCAAAGGACATTTAATCAACTACCAAACTCACAAATTCTGTGTTTTGTCTGTTTGTTTTTGTTAAAAATGCAATACAAATGTCTGGTTGCTGATGGCACGATAAATAAATAAAATAAATAAGCTCTAGATTATTAAATATGGTTTTCTGTGAGCGAGCAGATGATGACTACTGGATGGTATATGTTCTGTATCAGAAACTAGAGCTGATGTGGTCTATCCAATGCAATTTTATGAATCAGCACCCCAAATAACCAAACCAAATCTAAAGTTGACCTGAGAACTGATTCATAGCCCTTTTGGTACTAATGTGGAGAGTAGTCGCGGTTAAAGTGGTCCCTGATCAAAAAAAAGTTGGGGACCACTGTTTTAAAGCTCCAGGCAGGCATTCTGTTACTACTTGATGCCAATGGCTCACTTTCTCCTAGGTTGTGCAAAACTGGGGAGAGATGGCAAACAAAAATCTGTCAATTCTGAGCAGCCTATTTCTCCAACACCTCTCTGTACTTCCTTACGGTTGCTGCGTCGGCAGACTTTTTCCTTCTGTCGCCCGCCGCCTACACTGGCATAGTCACTCCGGAGTAGTTCACCAAGAAGGCCTTTATCTGCTGCATTATTTTCCTGTTATGTTGTTTTGGTGTTGTTGTTTTGCTTAATTTCTACTCCGTCTCGAAATTTCATATGATGAATGACAATAATAATATAACGCATTGTATATACATACATATAATATTGATAATAATATTATAATGTAATACAACATGATACTAATAATAATACGGTATAATAATTGTATATTATATATTACATGTAATATTACTGATAATATTGCAATATAATTATAATTATATATTTTATATTGCATTTAATATTACTAATAATATTGTAGTATAGTGGTATAATATAATATAGTACAATATAGTAATATAAGGTAAAGGTAAAGGTAGTCCCCTGACATTAAGTCCAGTCGTGTCTGACTCTGGGGTGTGGTGCTCATCTCCATTTCTAAGCCGAAGAACCAGTGTTGTCCGTAGACACCTCCAAGGTCATGTGGCCAGCAAGACTGCATGGAGCGCCGTTACCTTCCCGCCGGATCTACTCTATTGATCTACTCACTACTATTGATCTACTCACATTTGCATGTTTTCGAACTGCTAGGTTGGCAGAAGCTAGGGCTGACAACGGAAGCTCACGCCGCTCCCCGGAATCGAACCTGCGACCTTTCGATCAACAAGCTCAGCAGCTCAGTGCTTTAACCCACTGCGCCACTATACTAATATTTTGCTAGGTTAATAATATAATATATTGTATGTACATATAAGTTGTAAGCCATTCTTAGTCCGTGGGTTGTTGTAGGTTTTTTCGGGCTATATGGCCATGTTCTAAAGGCATTTTCTCCTGATGTTTCGCCTGCATCTATGGCAAGCATCCTCAGAGGTAGTGAGGTCTGTTGGAACTAGGAAAAACGGTTTATATATCGTGGAATAACCAGGGTGGGACAAAGGAATCTTGTCTTCTGGAGCTAGGTGTGAATGTTTCAACTGATCACCTTGATTAGCATTTGATTTCCTGGCAGTGCCTGGAGCAAGAGGGATCCTCTCACCTCTGCAGAAGTCTACTGTGTACCATCCAGCTGTGGAGAAGTCTACATAGGGACCACCAAATGCAGCAGCATTGCCCACACACGCATCAAGGAACATGAAAGGCACTGCAAACTAATCCAACCAGAGAAGCCATGGTCTAGAGGCATTCTCTCCTGACGTTTTGCCTGCATCTATGGCAAGCATCCTCAGAGGTAGTGAGGTCTGTTAGAACTAGGAAAAACACAACATACAAACTATCTACAGACCCACCAAGAAAATCCAACAAATGCTCCATTCAGCAAAGGACAAGAGGGATCCTCTCACCTCTGCAGGACTCTACCGTATACCATGCAGCTGTGGACAAGTCTACATAGGGACCACCAAACGCAGCAGCATTGCCCACACACGCATCAAGGAACATGAAAGGCACTGCAAACTAATCCAACCAGAGAAGTCAGCCATAGCAGAGCACCTGATGAACCAACCTGGACACAGCATATTATTTGAGAACACAGAAATGCTGGATCACTCTCAACAACCACCATGTCAGACTACACAGAGAAGCCATTGAAATCCACAAGCATGTGGACAATTTCAACAGAAAGGAGGAAACCATGAAAATGAACAAAATCTGGCTACCAGTATTAAAAAAAACTCTAAAATTAGAACAGCACAACAACAGAGAGGAAACAAACAAGGACATCTAATTACCTCTCAACAAAAGATTGCTCCAGGCACTGCCAGGCAATCAAATGCTTATCAAGGTGATCAGTTGAAACATTCACACCTAGCTCCAGAAGACAAGAGTCCTTTGTCCCACCTGGTCATTCCACAGATATATAAACCCTTTTTCCTAGTTCCAACAAACCTCACTACCTCTGAGGATGCTTGCCATAGATGCAGGCGAAACATCAGGAGAGAATGCCTCTAGAACATGGCCATATAGCCCGAAAAAACCTACAACAACCCAGTGATTCCGGCCATGAAAACCTTCGACAATACATTCTGAGTCCCCTTTGGGGTAAGAAGGGCAGGGTATACATGTCGCACATAAATAAATAAATGCACATTTTAAACATAGTATTAAAGCACTGGTTAATCCTAATAATATTATACTTCTCCACCATTTATTGTTGCCTCCATTCCCAATCTTGTAGGTGTGGTCCTTTCAACTATTTCCTCCCTTGGGCAATGGCCTTTTCTCTCATTTTGGAGGTAGATAGTGCTACGTAATCACTACCACTGCTATCAATAAGAAGCCATAAAAGAAGAGATACCACAATGAGCAAAAGATCATTCCTCGTTGTCGTATCTTGGTGGTCCTGTGCTTAAGAATAATGTGGTTCCATGAATCAAGGTTACCTTAGTTCTTCAAGATTAGTGTTTCTGCAAATTTCTAGGGCCGCACAGACCATAAAGTAGGCTAGGGATTAGTATCATATATAATTGATTTGAGTTGAGAAAAGTTCTGGGGCTTCACATGGTATGGGAAGCATATCTACACACCCTACAACAGTTTGCAGCTGGAAATGGGGACATGTCTGGCCTAGCAAGACCAAAAATGAGGTCGATTTGACATTTTGAATTAGAAGAGTACATGGGCTCTGGAGACCAAGCCAAAGAGAGAAAATGGAAGGAGGAGATATTTTAGAAGTCTGCTAGACTCTGAGAGTTGGCAGTCTATGCCCAAGTTGGCTGTCCCTTTGACCTTTTCTTCATGGACCAAGAGGGCAAACCTACTGAAGAGAAGTGAGAAGAGTCCAACTTGAGATGCCAGAGTCCTGAGAGATGCTAGGACATGAACAATGGAAGCAACCAGTAAACAGTTGCTCTGATCAAGAAGCTGTGGAGGAAGTGATGTCACAATGCCGTGTTCTGGTGGTCAAGAAGAGGAATGAGACCTCCTGGTAAGGCCGAAGACTACACATGAAGTTCCTGAAGCCATCTCTTCTCTATTGTCCACATTGGAAATAGAGTGAGAAGTGAAACCTGTCCTGTTCACCTTGTACAGTGCATGTACCAAGGTGAAGATAGATAACTGTTGGATGCTGTGGATGGGGAAGGTCACATTGGTCCCTCCCCCCGCCCAGAAGACCTTAGAGCAGTGGTTCTCAACCTTCCTAATGCCTTCTGACAAG